CATACAATAGAAGCATGCTGCTTCATCACTACATGTAAACATTTATTCATCTATAAAACACATTTAACAAAGCAATTAAAACTCATTGAAAATATTTTGCAGACATTGGCAGCTATACCGGGACTGAGGGTGCGCAGGGACAGAGCCCCGTGATCAGGGACTGAGCCCGGTGCGCGGGGACTGAGCCCGGTGCGCTGGGACTAAACCCGGTGCGCTGGGACTAAACCCGGTGCGCGGGGACTGAGCCCGGTGCGCTGTGACTGAGCCCGGTGCGCTGTGACTGAGCCCGGTGCGCAGGGGCTGAGCCCGGTGCGCAGGGACTGAGCCCGGTGCGCAGGGACTGAGCCCGGTGCGCAGGGACAGCAGGCAGTCATGTACTGTATACATCACACAGCAGAAGTCCGGGCTGCAGACTCATCACTCAGTATTTCAGCAACAAAGTGATGGAACATTCCTCACCCCAAACTCTGCTGAGCACCCAGGCAGATGTTGCAAGGGTTAATGTGGGAGGTCTCTCTTTTTTTTTTTTTATTCCTTGTCCTGCCCCCCTGTGATCACATGTCCCCTGCAGTCACATGGTGTCTCTTTATTCCCATTCATTGTGTGTACAGCTGTTTGGTGCTGCGCTGGGAGGGTGTGATGCTCCAGTATATAATGCAGGACCCCAGCAGAGCCATGTGATTCTTGCAGCCGGGAGCCCCAGCACACCATCAGAAGGACCTTGCTCCAGCCCAACATGAGGTCATCTCTCGCTCCAGCCATCAGGCTGTTCCATGGAGTGTCCAAAGACAGCTGGTAAGAGGGGCATTGTGTCTTCAGTGAAGGGGTGGGAGGGTGAGAGGGGCATGCACTGCACACCGTCAGATGGAGAGAACACATTACCAAATCTCAGCAGAGCATTCTTTATGTTTTGCATGAGTTGTGGAAGACCGTGCAACCATAAAAATCACATCTGCTGATGCTGCAAGGGACATTGTTGCATTGCATGAGCCAAATTCCGTTACTTTAAAGCCACATCAGCACAACTGTGCCACATTTGTTACCAGATGCAGCTTGATTTGGAACGTTCCCTTGTTACAGTTTTACTTTTTAGTATAGGTCGATCTTTTGTCCTTTAATTATCAGTTTAGTACAAAGTTCAGTGGCTGCAAAGTGCCGTCACCATCCTGAGCAACCGGCTTCCCATCCTTTTTTTCCTGGTGAACATGCAAGAAACAAAATTGGTTGCTCTGGACGGCCGCACTGTGTCCTGCCTCAAGGCGTGATGTCATTGAAGTCGCATTAGTGGACTTGTAGTGATCTTGTTCTGTTGGCAGTATTTGCTTTCACAGGTCTGTCCCTCCTTCTCGGTCTAAGCAGCACTGCTTGCAACAGACAAAGGGGGTAGACCTCTGAAAGTGCGACCTAAAAAAAAAAAAAAAATCACAAAATCATAAAGCAAAAAAGAAATCACATTCAGTTCTCAGTTATGGAATAAGACCGAATGTGGCTAGTACTCGGCTCTCCAGTGACCACAGAACTACAAGTCCCAGCATGCATTGCCAGTTAGAGGCTTGTCAATCAGCAACAGCTGGAGAGCCGCCGGCTGCAAATAGAAGACTTTGCTGCTGTGGTTGGCGACACTTCAGCTCGTTTTGGTTTCTTTGTAACAAATCTCGTTTCCTGAAGAAACAATACTTTCGCTTCTTTTGTCTGATGCAAAAAATCGTGAGAAGATACAAATCAGATTCTCAGATTAGGTGGAATTTTCAAATATCAATCAGAATGCAAGCTGCCAGGGAGGATTTATGTTCTCTTTCTGCACCCCCTTTGTTCCTGTATACTATACTCGAGGTGTATTTGGTATATGGTCCCCCCTCCCCAAATTTCACCATAGTACACCATGCCTGTACAGTGGTACCTCGGTTCACAAACTTAAATGGGGTCAGTGTTTTCCCCATAGTTCTCCCCAGGGTGACGGGAGAACAAAAAATAGCGTTCTACCGTCACCCTAAGCTCAGTATACGGCTCGCGGTATACTGAGACGCCGCAGCCGGGAAGGATCCCGACAATACTGTCCAGATCCACCCAGCTGCGGGATTGACAGCTGTCTCTGCCTAACTAGAGGCAGAGCCAGCTGTACCCGCCCCCTTCCCGTCCGTTTCGCCAGTCAGCGCTGGAGGATCGGACAGGGGAGGGGGGAATCCCTGCATGGAGACGTGAGAGACAGTCACGACCCTCTGCAGGGAGATGATCGAGAAGTGAGCGAGCGACGCTATGTGTTCGCTCACTTCCCGATCTATTGAGCTGACGTGTGACAGTTTCATTGTCATACGTCGGCTCAGATTATGAGGCTGAGTGAAAATCACTCGCCTCATAGTTCTCCTTTTTAATTCGTTCCACGATTCTGGTCGCGAACCGAATAAAACTGTGATCAGAGGGTGATCTTGACTAGAGGAAGCCACGGCCATGTGTCAGAGCGGGGAAGATGGCTGTGGTTGTGTTCGTCACCCGCTGCGGAGTTCACAAACGGAAGCAACATTTTGCCAAACTTCCTGTTCGTGAACCGAATTGTTCGTGAACCGAGGTACCGCTGTACTTTTGTATCTTTCCCCTGCACTTGCTATGCTGGGCTGTACATTATCAATAAAATTTTTTGGTTCATTCAGCTGCAGTGGAGCCGGATTCTTGTCCCATATCAGGAATGCGGGAACAAAATCACGTGTTTGTGGAACAAAATATTTAAACGTGATTCTGAGCTGTAAGCGGTGAGGAGGACGAATGGATCTGATCCTTCCGTTTTATTGAATTGCATACAGCATGCAAAAGGAACATGACATTATAAAGTGGAAGTCATTCTGACAAATGTGGGTGTGAGCTGAACTGATTTCAGCACACAGAACTACAACCCGCCCCCCTAGGGGGTTCTTTACTGTGAATGAGAAACATTGTACATATACAAAGAATCCCAGGAGTAGTATAAAAACACTTAACAAATCAC